TTAACCAAAGCATCAACAATCCCATTAGCCTCCCGAAAAACATGGGAGAAAGAAATATGTAAAGAAGCTGAAATATCCAGGACTTGTAGCCATAGAGATCAAAGGTCCCAAGGAATTGACAGCTCTTTCCTGCACCATTTTATTACGTTCAAAGAATCTCCTTCAACAATGCAATTAATGCCCAAGTTATGGTGCTTAAAAATAAGTAGACCTCTGAGTAAGGCACTCATCTCAGTAAGATTCGATGTTGCCCTATCGATAGGTCGTACATAGGAGAGAATAATGTTCCCGAAATAATCACGAATAATACCCCCAGTGCCCGCAGGACCTGGATTACCCATTGAGCTACCATCAAAATTAATCTTAAGACATCCAAAAGGAGGAGTACACCATAAAGCCTTGGGCCGTGACTTTCTAACCCCGAGAGAAAATACTAGAAAGATTGGTCATGACATCCACTTTCGTAATTCCCCATCCCTCCTTAGTCACAGAAAGACAACCAAATTGAAAGCTGAATTATCAAAATAACCTTTTGATATGGTAAAACCACACCTTCAAAGGCCCTTTTTTTCCTTTTTTTCCATATTTCCCACAACAACATACCAACTGCAATCTTCCAAACTACTCTCCCAATCTTAGGAAGAAAGGCCATAGAGGATTGAGTGAGTATCTCAGAAACCTTATGCGGCATTACCATAGACACACCAACCAAGTTAAAGAGCTAGTGCCAGATTCGAGAAGAGAAAGGGCAATGCATCAACAAATGTGCAACATATTCACCATCTTATTTGCAAAGGAAGTAAACATTAGGTAAAATTTTACCGCACTTGATAAGGTTATCTATAGTCAAAATCTTATGATGTGCCACTAACCAGATGAATAGCTAAACTTTATGGGGAATATGCCACTTCCATATATGAACAATTTTTGGAAAGGACCACCGATAGCGATAATGGAAGAACAAATTGTATCAAAACTTCACAGAAAAAATACCATCATTTTCTATCTCCCATACCACTACATCTTCAACATCTAGTGAGATATAAACTGATTCCAGTAGTTCCATCAACGCGCACCACTGGGAGAAAATAGCATTACTCAACCTTCTATATCTAAGATTGATGTTCCAAGAGAACCTCTCACCTCTTCTCTCCACCATATCACCTACAAACAAGTCTGGTTAAGAAACTACACGAAAGAGGTAAGGGAAAACAACCTTTAAGGGTAACATTCTAATCCACTTATGATGCCAAACTAGTACATGTCTACCATTGCCAACATTCTATTTAAAATACGCACAGGCCATAGGCCTACAATTATAAATGGCCTTCCAAGTGAAAAAAATATCGTTTCCTCTACCGCCATTGAGCCATAAGTTATGGTTGTCCATCCCATATTTAGAAAGCAGCACCTTGTATCAAAGGTGTTCTTTAATATAGGTACTTTTCCACCACCATTTACACAGTAGGACCTCATTAAATTTCCTTATATTTCGTATCCCAAGGCCACCCTCACGTTGTGAAGTGCACACCCTATCTCATCTGATTAAAGGGAATTTTTTATGCTCTTCTCTTGTTCCCCAAAAGAAATCTCTCATCATATTCTCTATTCTTCTCTCCACTGAGGCAGGAATTTGGATCAAAGACATTTGGTATACATGTAAGTTAGCTAGGCATAATCAAAGCAGAGTGACCCCTAACACCGAAAGATAAATACTTATGCTTCCAAAAATCTAGTTTTACCTGTATTCTTTCAATTACCTTATCCTACACAACAATAGCAAATTTAGAGTTTGAAAGTAGGAAAAGAGGCCACCTTACAACCCACCACTCATGTAAGGTTCTCAGCCACTATTTCCCCACAGTTAATAGTCAGCAGAGAAGACTTGTGGAAGTTTACTTTAATCCCTATAACCACTTCACAAATTTCAAAGAATCTAGCAATATTCTCCACTTGCTCAGTTTTAGCATCACAAAGTACTGGCGTATCATTCGCATATTGAAGATGAGACACAGTGATATCCGAGTTAGCAAATATGTAATCCTTGGAAGGCTCCACTCCGCTCAATATTACTGAGCATGAGACTAAAATATTATGCATAAATAGTATAAAGAAAATGTGATAGCGGATCTCCTTGACGAAGTCCCCTAGAGGATTTGAAAAAACCAATAGGACTCTCTTTGAATAGAATGGAAAAATGCACAGAAGAAAGACATCCATATATCCAGCTTCTCCATCTATCACCAAAACCCATAAGCTTCATAATCTCTAGTAGCACCCTCCACTCCACCATATCATAAGCCATATCCATATCCAACTTCAGCATTACACCTTCCATTTTGTGGAGAACACGAGAGTGAATGCATTCCTGCGCAACCAGGATACTATCTGTTATCTGCCTATCCCTGATGAAAGCTAACTGAGACTTCGAAATGAGGAATGGAAGAACTTCTTTTAGTTTCTCAACAAGAATTTTGGCAATAATTTTATAGGCACTCGTAAGCAGCCTAATAGGTCTGATATCAGATAGTTCACTGATATTTGATTTTTTAGGAATTTGAGCAAAAAAGGTGAAGTTTATACCTTAAAGATCTGACTCCTAATGAAGAACTCCCTCACAAAGGCGAGTAAATCTTCATTCAAAATATCCCAAAACTGATGAAAAAACAGCATCGGGAAACCATATGGACCGGTGCCTTATCCCTAGTCAAAGCAAATACAACATTTTTGAATTCCTCCATACAAACAGGTCTCTCTAGGTGGCGGGCCTGATCCCCTTGTAGAGACTTAAAGGGCACATTGGGAAACCTGGAGCTCAGGAAGACCTCCCTAGAAAAGGCTTTCTTAAAATGTTGCACAACTCCGTCTTCCATGGCCATAGGATTCTCAACATCGACTCCAGGGATCGTCAAACCTGAAACATCGTTCTGCCTTCTTCTAGAGGAGGTAATAGCATGAAAATATTTGGTATTTAGGTCACCTTCTTTCAACCGTTTATTCCTAGACCTTTGCTTCCAATAAATTTCTTCAGTCTTGCGTAGCTCTTCAAGCTCTTTCAACTTCATATTTTGATTAATAATCAGGGCCTCAGATAACTTTCCACTGTTTTGAAGGTCAGACTCCAAGCCTTCAATATCCGCAATGACCACATCAATCTTTGCCTTAATGTCGACCTTGTTAACTTTTTTCCACTCTATCAATTTTTGTTTAACACACAATAGCTTTTTATGGATTTGAAAATCCATCTGACCAACCACTACCGTGTTCAGCCATGTTCTTTTAATAATTTCCATTGCCTCTTTTTCTTCCAACCATCCCGCCTCAAACCGAAATGGCTTAGGCCCTCCCCTTTGACTGCCTGTATTGAGAAGAATGGGAATATGGTATGAGGAGAGCCACACCACTGCTTTCACAGAGGTCAGTGGGAAAACTTCAAACCAATCAACAGACACAAGAAATTTGTCCAACGTGGACATAACAAGATTCTTTATACTATTATTTGACCAAGTCGACTTAGCACCAAAATTAGGTAAGTCCAAAAAAGCATTTGCTTCAATAAAATTATTAAACTTCCACATAAAAAGATTTATGGAGTGGCTTGCTAAATATTCATCAGGACACCTAATGAGATTAAAATGCCCCCCAATAACAACATGATGTGGAATAGACTGGTCCTTGAACTCTTGAAAGTTGAACACTAAAAAAAAATTTTATATAAGTTTGCAACCTTAAAATGTAGAATTAAAGATGTGCCTCAAAAATCCATTGGAAACGGTTGTTTTAATGTTGAAAAACGCTCTAATTGATTATCTCGACATCGAGATGTATGAAAATGAAAAATAAATAAAATTTTGCATCTCAGAAATAGTGCATCTTGCAACACATTATCTAGACTGTTCATTTTCAAGATTTTCATATGTTTATCAATCTACTTGATTTTAACTATTTTTGGAGTTTAAAATTTTATAATTAGATATGAAAATAGATTTTCATATAATCCCTAGAATTTTTTACAACAAAATTAAATATTATGATATAATTTGGATGTGCACCTTGTTGGATTGTTTAAGGTACACCAAATGAGCAATTTTAAAATCTTTTAAAAGTTTAATGGAAAAAATCAAATTATTAAATATTAAAAGGAAAAAGTTTATATGAGGTTGGGGACCTAAACAATCAAACTAAGGCATACCTCAAGAATTCATTGGAAGAAGTCGTATTGATGCTGAAAAACTCTCAAATTCGATCATCTCGACTTGAGTTACATGGATGTTAAAAAAAAAGGACTTTAAATATTGGAAATAGTGCATCTTGCAATGCATTATCTAGATTGTCAATTTTCAAGATTTTCAGATGTTCATAGATTTGCTTGATCTATACTTTTTTGAAGCTTTAAATTTGACAATTAGGGATGAAAATAATTTTTCAGACCATCATAAATATTTTCGATATTGAAACGTCATCTTTACACTATTTGAAGGCGTGCCTTACTTTGATTGTTTAGGCCTCAGCCTCATACAAACCTCACCCATATTAAAAAAAAATCACTCTCCGAGGAATAGCACAATGGATGGAGAGAGATAACAACGTCAACATCAAGTCATAAGCACGTATGCTATGTTCCCACGGGAGCATACTATGTATCTACTCCCTTGTGCAAAACACGTACTTAGAAAGATTACTCTAGTTCAAAATTTTGGGGACCACATAAGAGTTACCGTATGACTTTTTTAACACCTTAGATCTAGCTATTCGCCCTTTCTATGCAATCTTGAAGCATTATCTTTTTTAGTACTTAGAGACTGTATTTCATAAAAAAATTATATATTGACATTAGTTTGAAAGTTGTAGAGATTACATCCACAAGATATGAGATCTAAAAGCTATTTTTAGCATATATAACACCTGAAGGAGTACATGGATAGTTTGCTCTTGCGGAAGTAGAAAATCTTTTGGCTTAAGTCATTAGCATTAAGGAGAGAGAGAGATTACTACCAAGATAAATTGGATAGAGGGAGTACAATGACAACAATAAGAGAGAGATGGGAAGCAAAACTTTTAAAAAAAATTACAAAAAAACATCTTAAAAAGGACTACCTATACAACTTACCCTGACCTCAATCTTTTCTCACACTTTTTTCCCCAAAACAATCGTTCCTCACAACAATCCCTCAAGGTAAAAAATTGTTATTTTTTGGACGAAAATGTCCTTCCCGTACAAAGCAAATCAATTCGTGGGTCCCAAGTAGTATATTGCTGGAGCGCATCTTTGTACTGCCGGAGCACGTTCTCATAATCCCGGAGCGCTGTGGCTCGGACCTGCATTGCCGGAGCGCACATTCAAAATGCTGGAGCATTTGCTTATATTGCCGCAGCGCAATCCTCCATTGCCGGAGCGTTATGACTCCAGAGACTTCATTACCGGAACGCATCTTTGCACTACTAGAGCGTTGTGGCTCTGACCTGCATTGCCGAAGCGCACATTCAGAACGCTGGAGAGCTTGTTTATACTGCCGCAACGCAGTCCTCCATTGCCGAAGCGCTATGGCCCCAGAGACTTTATTGTCGGAGCGCATCTTTGCACTATTGAAGCGAGTTCTCATAATGCCAGAGCGCTGCGGCTTAGACCTGCATTGCCGGAGTGTACATTCAGAATGCCAAAGCACGTGTTTGTACTGCCAGAGCACATGTGAAAACAGGAGAGAGAATGCCGTGTGAAAATAAACAAGAGTAGTTTAGTCTTATTTCATGCTACTGTGGGTTGGGGGTAATTTGCGAGGAAAGGTTGTTTGGAAAAAAAAAGGAGAGAAAAGATTGAAGTGAAGTAAGTTGCATAAACAGTCCATTTAAGGATGGTTTTTTTGTAATTTTTTCAAAATTTTATTTGTACAAAAAAAAAAAAAAAAAAAGAAGAAGAAAGAAAGAGAAAGAAAGATAGATGGGGTGCAAAAATAAACAAGTTTGGAGTGAATTTTAAGAAAACCAAAGCCAAAAAAGTCCGTTTGTATGACTTTCCTCCGATGCAATGACTGGAAACCAAGCAAGAATATATGCCTCACGATTAGGGCCTAAAAAACCGCCCCACATCGCTCCCTCTTATTAAACACATGCTTAAGCCACAAGATTCACCAAACGCTTTTTCTCCAAATCTATATTAATTTAAAGACAAAGTGAATTAAACTGTAAATGGAGGGTTTGGATCTTGCAATGGCCAGTATGCCTTTTAGAATCTGGACTGTCCATTCACATGATGGACAACCAGGATTGCCCAATAAAACTTGGGCTGTCTATGAATCACACGTGTCAAGAATGCACATGCATGAATTCCATTTGGTGGAAAAGGGCTATTAAGTATTAACCCAAACAAAACCAATGCTTAACCTTTGATTACTACTAAAAAGGTTATTAGCCCTCATTAAACTTAATCTTATGCTAATGATGTATGCAAGAAGCATCCTTTCTAAAGCAAAGCAAAGATCTAGTAGAGCTCCAACTTGTGGCCACCCTCTTTAACACTTTTTTCACCTTTGGAGGATTCCTTAAGAGTTTTAGGGCTTCTTGAAGTAGACTATTTAGAGGGTTTAGAAGTCTTGTGTCCATGGATCGGTTACCAATACTTGTCTTTCACCTTTATATCCCTTAATTGAGTGTAGGCTTTTCAGTTTCTTGGGAAATGGCAGCTCAAAGAAAGCTGCCCCATGGGGGCCTCTACATTCTTGCTCTTCTATATGTTTCTTTAGCAGCTGCCCTCCTCTTCCAATGTGGTAGGTCTATGTTTCAACTTCTTTTATGAATGTTTCCCTCCTTTACTACCTTGTGTTGCATTTGATTTGCACAGTGTCAATATTTCTTTTCTTTTTTTAATATTTCAAATATATGGTTACATAGGTGAAAACCTTAAAAAGGAAAAAGAATTCTTTATGGGCACTCTACATTGTAGTTCATTTCTTCAAGGGTACTATCAATTGTCCCCTTCTTCTTCTCCAAAAAAAAAAAAAAGAAGAATAAATGTATATGGGCAACATTTTTCCCCTTATTTGTGTTTGATTATGTTTTTAAACTAGGTGGACAGGGCATGGGATTTTACTGGATTTTTTGAATTGTCATCTCGAAAAAAAGGGGTTATCTGACTACTGAAACTTGCATCACATAGTTATGGGAAGCTACTATGTAAACATCCTTAGTGTTGGCATTAAAAATACCCCAATAAGTATAATTTCTTACTTTGAGAAAAAAATTTCACATAGAATTATTCTTTTTCTTTTTTTTTTCCATTTTTTTTGATATTTTTCCAGAGCAATGCCTTAGTAACAGTGTCATGTTCCATTTTCAACTTGAATAGATGCAAGAAGTGTTTCGAAACGGTCGAGGACTTCAATCAGGAGCTCTTCAAGACAGCTCAAGAAGTACAGACAAGTGAGCCACATTGATGTCTCTCCCACTCTGGATCTCTCGCCGACGAGCGAAGGCATGTATCTCGATGCCCTTGCTCCGGGTGCCTATATGGATGTTCTTCCTCCCAACACATTTCCGGAGTCCCCCTTCCCCTTTTCTTATTCACCTCCCTCTCCTCCTTACTGTGAATACCCACCCCTTGCACCACCTTCTACACTCACACCCTCAATCCCATCCCCTACAACCTTCTCTGAACCTCCCCCACCACCACCCTTTTACTTTACTCCACTAGTCCCTATACTCCCACCACCACCACCCTTTTACTTTACTCCACTAGTCCCTATACTCCCACCACCTGAGTCACCTAACCCTTCAAATCCAACTCCTTCAATTACTTTCCCTAGCCCTCCAAGTTATAACCCCAGTCCGCCAAATTATGAGCCTAGTCCTCCAAATTATGAACCTAGTCCACCTTATAATGAGCCTCCATCTTATGAACCTAGCCCTCCAAGCTATGTGCCTAATCCACCTACTTCTATTCCAGGTCCCCCTAACTATGAGCCAAGCCCACCAAATTATGGCTTCACCCCTCCTACTTACACAAGTCCTCCTGTGTTTGAGCCTCCAGTTGTGTTCCCTCCCCCAAATGCACCACCCCCTCCATTTCCAACCACTCAAGGAGGGGTGTGGTGTGTTGCTAAGCCATCGGTGCCTGATCCGATTATCCAAGAGGCCATGAATTATGCTTGTGGGTCAGGGGCAGAATGTGAGACCATTCAGCCTTCTGGGTCTTGCTATCAACCGGACACATTGCTCGCCCATGCTTCGTTTGCTTTCAATAGCTATTGGCAAAGAACAAAGGCAGCCGGTGGAACCTGCGACTTCGGCGGGACGGCCATGCTGATAACAGTCGATCCAAGTAAGAGCAATTCCACTCTCTCCCTCTCTCTCTAGGGGGTTGACAAACTTCATTAAAAGTTAATCAAAGAAGATCTACAAAATGAACAGAACACCTTAATAAAGGAGTTAAACCACAAACCCAAGTGATTAAACTGGTCCCTAGTGGTCACCTACATGCAACGGGCGGCAGAAAGCTTTTCTCATTTGAATAATAATGTTCGGATGCATGTCCCATCTATGGGAAATGAAAGACTGATCTTGTGTTATGGATACAGGTTTTGATGGGTGCCACTTCATTGTCTATTGAAGCAGAGAAGTTAAAAGGAGGAAACTCTTTTTGATAATTACTGGAGGACCTCCCAAACTATTCTCACTATATATAAATTCTAGTGAAAAGGAGAGGTGCATGCTCATTGAGGAGGGGCCTGAAGGGATTTTTGCTTTATGTTCTGTATTTATCTAATTTTGGCATTTATGGCCTTGCTTAGGGTAGGGCACCATAGGATACCAGGAAGATTTGAAGATACCACCTTTAGAGTATCAAGAACCACTTGGAATATTTTGGAATGTAAAAGGGGATGGTAATTGCAAATAAATAACCAAAATCTAGAAAATGATACATATTTTTTCCATTATCAATAGAAATAATTTATTTATAGTTTGTGTGTAGTACTTCTACCCATGCTTTTTTTCCTTAGTCCTCTGGAACTTTAGTCACTGGAATTCCTAGTAAGCTAATGTTTGCATGAAAACATACATAATTCTAGAAAGGAACTTCATAAGTATGAGATCGAATGGTAAGAACTAGTATATTCATTAAAGAAAAGCCATACCTTTGGGCAATATTTCCTGCATAAGGGAACGAGAATATTCAGTTATCCGCACTTTCATATGCATGTAATTATATCAAATTCCATAAAGATCATAAATCTATTTTAGTTAAAGTTACTTTTGTAGCATGATTCTTTAGCATGGCATCCAAGATTAGTAATAAACCGTGAATGTGGAGCAATTGACCTGCCATTTAATGAACTAAAACAGAAGGTAAATATCTTACTTTTATTGCAGAAGAAACAAACAATAAGTAAAATCTGGCCACTACTTTCAAAGCAAAATCTAGTGTTTATGAAACCCCTATACCAATGTTAAGCCTTAGGTTTTGAAACCATGAAAGAACCACGCAAGCTCAGAAATCCTGGACTTTTGTGCATATCAAAATCGACTATCTCATCACAGTTCAAACTTTCTTTAGACTTTAGAGAGAAAAATTCTAGTAGAGGAATGATTAGCAAGGTTCTGAAGAAATTCATATTGTGTCATACGTAAAATCCATGGATTATTGATGAGCTTCTCCATCTGCACTCCTTTGACCACTCTGACAGTAAAACTTGTAATATTGGGTAATATTGGGACAAAAGCTTTCTTTCAAAATTTTTACATAGCAATAGTATCCAAATCGAATATTGACATTGCAAAAAATGAGAAGGAAAATACAACCAAAATTCTCGTCCAAACTCATGGCCCATGTAGAAAACTAAATGGATAATGAACAAATATAAAATGTAAACATGCTATGAGCTAGTGAGTCCTAATCCTTTCCATCGATCACCTAGCCAACTAATCCACGAAAATAATACTATAAGTCATCAAGCAAGTCCAATTCTTCAAAAGATTCCTCATATTGTAAGATGGTGGTCTCCTCTGCAACAAACCAAGTATTGCCGATGCCGTTGTCATTATCAAAAGGGGGAGAACAGCTCTACAACCACAAAAGGAGATACTTGTTAACTTATTATTTTGCCACCTATTATTGGTCCTTCCTGTCTTTTCCCTAGTCACATTTGTATTTATTTAAATAAATAAATAAATTTCTAAAATATTTTACTCCAGCCAAACCAGCTCAGATTGTACTGTACCTTTGCACAAGTATATACAATAAGGGTAATCCAATTCCAATCCTTCGTCGAACGTTTGAAGGCCGAATCTCTCCCAGCCTCTCGCAGATAATATAAAAGAGGTGGCATCAACTGCATTTCATAATGCAAGGGCCCACCACAAAGTGCACAGTTACCGGGATTTGCTACCTCCTTCGCAGCCAAAAGGGGTCTACAACCATGACAATACCTGGAAGAAAAATAATATAGGTTTTGATTCTTGATGTCTTTTCAACTTAAGAAGATCATGTGGATGTCTGAATTCTATACAACAGGTGTTATAAAACAACTGTGAAGGAATTAAGAGATGTTTGGAGAGTCTGAACTACCAATAAGACAAGAGAGATGGGTTGCTAACATGTGGAGGCTAAATTAACATAGTCACAGAAAGGGCAACGAATGACCTAAAAATCCACAAGTCAAAAGTTTAAAAAAGGCTTAACTGAATTCAAACATATGTCCATTTAGTTTGCCAAACCCACATAGGACACCGAGGACATGCTGATAGTTTCAAACTTTCTAAATGTATGTTTTTTTAATATAAGAAGAGAACAAAATTTATTCATAACAAAGAGAGAAAATCTCCTGGTACAATGCAAAGGAGGCCCATTTAAGACGGCACACCATCCCAAAATTTAGTCTTCATAATACTGATGTACATTCTCAGTAATTTGTAGGTCATAGACAATACTATATCTGAGTTCAGAGAAAACCAAAATTTGAGATTTCATTCTGATGGTTAATAGCCCTTGGTTACAAAAGATTTCTCTAACATGCATACCTGAAGCATTGTTCCGGAAAAGCATCAAGACATTTCTTAAACTTCAAATATGTCCTGTCGGTATGCATAGTTTGACCGTACTCGTATCCCTCTTGTTCCCATAGTTCCTCATTTCCTTGGTCATTATCAGGATCCTCTTTGCTTCCTTTGATGGAAAGAGAGGAAAGAGCATGAAGACCATCTTGCAACAATGGCTCTTTGAGAGAGTATAAATAAAAGCAAGGCACCACTGCAAAATCAAGGAAAAGCAAACAAAAAATTACATACTAAACTAAAATCTGATAATTAAAAACAACCAATAACAAGGGACATCATAACGTTTTACGTAGGAGGTATATTATTGAAGAAAAGTAGGGTGTGATGATGGATGCTGGAGATGAACAGTTTGCTTGCCCAAAGTTGGTATTTTTCCATCAAGTGGATGAATGGTTCATCTCCATTGTTCGTCATTGCAAGGGAAAGACAACAAGGTAAAGACATTCTAATACAACACATGCGATACTATGAGGTCTATAGTACATTATTACACATCGTAAAGCTTATTCGAGAAGTGTAGGCATGCACACCAGCAGCAAATAAGTGCAATAATTGAAGAAGCAGGACTTTTTTTTTTAAACAACACATAATGGATGTTCGGGTGTATTTTATATCAAAACATTGAAAAAGGCATGAACCCAATTTGATCGTATATGGTACGGAGAAGTCGAAGATAATGTGAATTTCCCGTGGACAACATGGTATCGAAGCCCAGGGATGGCCATCGGGAGCTCATATTGCCCAATTAATCCTTGAAAGGTAGGGAATACGAAGGGATCCAAATAATGGTAACCTACAACTGCAGGTGCTCAAGGTTGACAAGCAAACAGATAGGCGGTGTCATATACACCAGCACTGCTGGAACCCACCGAAGGTCATCAAAAGTTCAAAACAACTCTGATTTGGGAAGAAATCGAAGAAATCCTCATGATAGGGAAAATACGGCATCTCTTAAGAAAATTTCTGGGAAGTCGCAGTGACACCAAATTGTCACATGGGAGGTGGATGAGGGAGATGATTTGAACATTGATGAAGTGAAATCAGAATGCTGCAAAGATCGGCTGAAGTTTATATTAATGCGATGCCTCCAAGTCAACCCTCCAAAAATTGGGCATTTCGATATCGAATGCCCTAGATATAGGGTTTCGAAGTCCAAGGGATGCAGCCAGTGCACTATTCATGCAGTCAGCGCCCTAAAAAGAAAGTTGATTTACACAGTGACCCCCAGCAAATGCTGCTGGATCAAGCTAAAATTTGGTGGACTCTAGATCAAACCCAAAGCTGTTATGTTTACGTATTCATCGCCATCAGGCATCATTTACTACCATTTTTAAAAGCATCCAGACATAAGATGCCACCGATGTGTTATTTGGGATTCAGTCAGTGAAAATTTCAGGGCCAAAACCAACCTAGACAGACATTTGGAGACTATTTTAATCATATCTCCCAAACCCCAAGTTAAAGTGAGCTGGAGGGATTTGTTCTACACTTAATCTTCTTCCATCCATATATGATTCAATGGGTTTCTACCAATAAATCAATACCAGATTGGAGATCAAATCAGAGTTCCAAATGGGACACCAATGGTTACAGACATCATGGCCTCCATACGCCTCTCCATCAATTTCTCCTAAAACACATGCTCAATGGAGTTGAAAATTTGCAGATAAGCTCCTCACTAATCCCCTAAACATCAACTCAATACAACCATTTGCATGGTTATTTGCAAGATCAAAGAGCAGATTGAAGCCCAAATGCAGCCCAAAACTAATTCTGTTACATAATGACCTTTGGGGTCAATCAAAGATTCATAACTCCATGAATATGAGGAGTTTTTGGTTGAAACTTGAGGCAAAGGAACCTTAATTCAATTCTCCATAGATCTATGGAGAGAAAATAGCCATCATATCCATGAAAATCTGGCAAAAATTTGGGGCGTCCTGCATGTATCATACAAGTCAAGGTATAGGAGGGCTTATGAATTATGATATACCAGTCTGGGAAGCTCCCAAAACCAAAGTTTTTGTAATCTTTTGAAATGTGTCTTTACCGTTGATGTTCTCTGGTATTTGGAGTCAGTGTCACTTTGTTTTCAAACACAAAACGCATACCGACATGGAGGCAAGCACTGGCCAACCACAGTGTAGAGTGGACAATTAAAAACTTTAGTGGCTAAATTACCCCCAAATTTAAATGCAACACATGATAAGATATACATGAAAACAAAAAGTTATAAAAAAGTGAAGATTAAATTCGAAGGAAACACAAAAGATAAATATATGCAGAAAAAGAAAATAATGGATTTAATAAAAATATATAAATAGAAATAGAAAATCTAAAAGTAAAAATATGACAAAGAATAATAAAATTAGACTTCACAAATGCATTCTTACTGTTATGTCCTATGTGTACAGCAGGAATACCCCTACTTGAAACAAACTTAAGACTCTATTGCCTAGTAAAAGGGGAGAAAAAAAGCTTTGAGAAGACAGAGTAGTATTCTTTAGTGTTATTAGATACATTTCTCTTCAACCTCTTCGGCTCAAGTCATCAAGTTTTACACCCAAAATAGAGCGAAGGAAATCATGCCCCTGTATATTTCAATATCCCTATTAATTTCCTTGACATATTCAAAACTTCGTAGGAATGCGGCTACAGTATTGAATATTTTGTAGAACTATATCTGTAGTATGCGAAATTTTGAAGATATACCTTATCCATTACTATGTACTAAAAAATGCGTACTATCCATTACATCTTTTGAATTTTTTTTGCTCTTTTACTTCTACACTTGAAAACTCCCTTGAAACAGCTGAAGAGCCAAAGCACTTCCCTTTCCAGGCCAAAAGGAAAAACCATCCAAAGCAAATTGTGATAACCTAGCTTTTGAGCAACTAAATTCAGCACATGTTTAAGATGTAAAGAAGATGCCCCAAAGCTACCTTGTGTGTTGCTGTCGCGAATGACCTTTGTTCTTTGTTTAGAAGCTGACTTTTTCTCCTCTGAGTTGGGAAGCATTATATCCTTTTGTTTATGAGCATGAGAAGATGCATTTGCAACTTCCATAAAAGCCCTACTCAAATCCACTAGACTTACATTGCCGCCCTTCATGTTGCCAAGCTCATCTCCAGATCCTTCAGTTATCCATGCATCCCCTCCCCACCAATTATCACCACTAGAAATTGATCCAGAAGAAGCTGATGGTTTAGCTGAATCATGGTTAATAACAGAGGTGACAGGATCACCAGTAGTGGATTTCTGTAACCGAAGGGTCCGCCAACTGTAAAAGAAATCACCATCTAATTTTATAGAAAGAAAAACAAGATATTTAAGTACTCGTTGCAACAAAAGGCTTGAAAAATTGAACTAGAAACACCTACAATGCGAATAAATGACGAAAAATTCATACAGCAGGGAACAGTAAAAATAAGTTGATATAAGGGAATGACACCTCATGGGATTGCAACAAGGACTTGAAGAATTATACTTAAAGCAACCAATTCATATGGTATCAAACAGGAAAAAGAAATTATAGGGAATAATGACCTTGTTAGTTCTCTTCCACATTTTGGCCCCGGACAACCCAAGACATAAAGTGTACGCTCTTCAACTTGCAAACAATTGCTTGAAATAGGGGCAAATACCTGCAAAGGAGGTTGGCTTTTAGCTTGTAAGAACATGATATTATATAGGTGAGAATAACATATTCATCAAAAATAAAGATACAAGTTACCAAAATATAGAAAAACAAACCTGTGCAACTAGTATGAGATCCCCTCCACAAACACCACATTTGAGCAGCTCAGTCTTAATAGCCTCTACCGGAACAGGCCAATCCTACAGAATCAAGTCATAGCATAAGTCCTCCAATACTTAAAAATGTTTGAGAAAATGAGAAAAGTCACTGAAGTTCAGAGAATATCAACAGGTAATCCCCCAATCTTTGTTGTAAAATGATCAGAGGCTTCATGGTTATCTTCTGCCCATGGTCCAGGCATGCCAAGAATAACTTCCCCCATATTCAGGCCTGGCATAACATACTTGAAATGAGAACGATATCACAAATAGTTCCTCATTGTACACACAAACCAGTGGTGCTTATTAGGTTCCCCATATATCCAAGAATCCCTCAAATTTCACACAATATTTCTTATGCATTGCCATGTGTCGCTTTCAAATTTAGAGTCAATGTTAAGGGTCATTGGGCCGTGGTCACCCTATCATAGGGATGTCAACATCTGAACCTTGATATTTGTCCCAAAAAATAAAGCATGCTGACTCATCCTTGCAAACAAAAAATATAAATGCATTTATAAGGCTACATTCTCAATCTTAACAAAGTCCAAGCCTGAAAATCATCAAAAACTCCATTGAAACAGCAGCATTCCATTCCCTTGTTCTTACGAACTTATTGTTAACAATACGTTGTGGAATAAAAAATTATATAGATCTAGCGTCAATTAGTAAAAGTATGAGTTGCAATGGAGAAATCAATAAAAAATGTTGAATCAAATGGCAAGTTCGTAAGGTGCTTCAAAAACAACTGATTCATATTTCTCACCAAAAAATGAGTAAGATGATGCAGCTTGCTTAACTGAAAAAATGAGTAAGATGATATCCGGAAAGCAGTGTTAGAAAAATCGAACTGGAACGGTTAGCCGGGCATAGGCCTAGAAGCGATTCAACCGGCCTAACCGGTAAACTGGCCGGTTCAACCGTTCTAACCGGGCAAGTCCCAGGCCGTCAAAAATGTGTTAAGAAAATAAAAAAAAATCTACTAAAATATGAAAAATATATTTAAAGAATGATAAAACACAGCACATCCAAAAGAAGATGAAAACTAATGAAAACAAATGAATTTTAAAGAATCGATTTGTGCCCAAGGGTATTTTCGAAATTTTCTAAAAAGATGGGAAAATGTAAAAATAAATATTAATGGCCAAAATAATTTCCAATTTTTGTTATAATGATGTAAAACATTAAAAATACATTACAAACAAAATCCCTTATTTTTTTAGGATTTTATATAAAAATTTTTAATTTTTTTTAAATACCCGGCTGGTCATCAAAACCGGCCAAAACCGGAACTGGCCACAGGCCGGCTCTAATCTAACCAGGGGTGGTTACCAGTTAGAATAGACAATTTTTCCAACAATGGTGGAAAGTAATGTCCAAAATTCGCAAAATTATATAGATCCAGCATCAATTAGTAAAAGTATGAGTTGCAATGGAGAAATCCATAAAAAAATATTGAATAAGATGGCAAGTTGGTAAGGTGCTTAAAAAACAACTGATTCATTTTTCTCAACAAAACACGAGTAAGATGATGCAGCTTACTGAATAAGATGATGTGCGGAAAGTAATGTAAAATTCGCAAACTTTTCATTATGCAATATAAATTTACAGACCGTAGTCACTAGGGTCCCCTCTCTAAGGCAGTGCTCTCACTCTACGAATGCGGTTCTGCAGTTTGGGAGCTAGAATAAGTTTCCAACATGTCCCTATTCTTTCGGAAATGTGTTCCCTATTTTCATGAGAACTCTTTCTACTAGAGTTGTCAAGGAGTCCCATCTCCCCTCTGGCGGGCTCCATAATGAGACCTACAAATGCATCACAAGGTAAACTTTGGGATTTACAGAGGTGGGAACATTTCTAGTCTAAACAAGATTTAAAAAGAGAACTCAAGCAACAAAATCCTTCAATTATTTTTCGAGGTTTATCTTATAAAATTTATTGTATGGGCAAGCATTGATCCCCCACTCCCACGCCTAATCCCACTGCTGCTCCAATAACTATATTCTAAGCTGTTGCAACTATTAATAAAGCTCTTAAAGAGCCAATGCATGTTTAGTATAATTGAACATGACCTCATATCTATTAATCGTAATTGTTGACGATATAGAGGTTATGAACATGACCTCATATCTATTCATCGTAATCGTGGACGATGTAGAGGGTTATGCCAAACCATATGTAGCTTTCCAAAGGGACAATACTACTATAAATATGCACTATGCCCTATTTGTTGATCAGAGGTACTTAGTGTTTTCCTCTAATTATCTCACTTGAATAATGTCAGCCATTCCCATTTGATGAAGGATCACCTAGGGCTACCCACAAAAAGAGGTGTGCCAAAGCTGGGGCTGCGACCACAAAACATAGGGTCAAGTCCTAGGACATACTTCCTCAAAAGGATGAGTTAAACAAATTAGCAAGTTAAAATCATCCCTTTAGTAAATAGTTCCAGCTTTTGCTGCTTTCCTAATTGTGTAGCAAGGGCTACTTTCCTATAAATTATAAAGGAATCTAGATCCATGTATATGCGTGAGGAAGATTCAGTGGAGATTTAGGAAGGTCTAATACTACTTTGGGGTTCAAATTAGGCAAAGATAAAGAGGTGCAAGTGTAACCTCTATAAATTCCATGTAAGGCCTTAGGCCAGATTAATCATAAAGAATGAAATAAAATTGCATGTTTTGTTGATATTGATTTTGATTCCAAAAGAAGGTGTTGATTCATCTCTTTCGTAGTGTTGAAGCCATAATTCTTGGCAAGATCAAGATAATCTAATTCCAGGTACCTCATCTGCTTCTCCATATTCCACTATTCTCTTCGTTTATCCCACTCCACTTTATAATTTCCTAATTTCCTCTTTATATCGTCGCTTTTTCTTTCCTTCCCTTATCATCAAACGACCAATGCCCTAGTTTACTTATAAAACCGGGATCCACTCATCTCTCTTATCAAGCTACATTTTCCAAATGAACATATTATTCTCCCAATACTCTAGTTTAGGTAGTTGTTAGTCTTAGAAATATAGCAAATATTCACTCATCGTGTACCCCATTTGACCCCTTTAGAGCATCCAATGTAGTCAATATCCTCAAATATTCTAAAAACTACATCCTATAACCTAACCCATCCCACTCAAGCACATAATTTCCACCCTTAAACGCCATTGCCTGTTTGTTGGACTTATAAATCCAGGAAGAACTTTTATCCTGAACCCCAAACTTCCTATTACTCATCCAGTCTCAACCCAACCTTAGATAATTCTCCCATGCCACATTCTCTGAGACAAAGAAATCTCCCTCTGCCAACTCTAACCACTCAGAACCATTCCAAGTTCAAAATCTTGTACCACCTGGCCTTCTATCAATTAGATTACACCCTCTATTTCCGACAAGCCTTCCTGAAAATAACTAGAAACTTGACTAGACTGCCAGCAAGATTTTCGGCCTTACCAGCCCTGTGAAACCCTTCTAAAAAACATACTAGAACTCTACCTTAAAGCCTTTCGAGCACCCCTTTTCAAAGTTTATACGTCCTCATAATCATCTCCTAAACCCTTCGAAACCAGAACCCTAACCCTGAACCTACACTGCACCCTAAACCTCCATCTTCTAACCTTATTATCACTTGTGTAGTAGCCCACAAAATTGATCGTACATCACTATTATTTATGCTCTTTAAGTTTACCAAATTTTACCCAAAATAAACTCATAATAGGAGAATGGTTGTTGGCCCCAGTATTGGCATCTCACTACAACTAAATGGACCAGACACTATTCTGCATAATAAATCGAGGCTTATCGCCTTCTTGTTGCTTTCATTTCCTCAGAAGCTTCCACTTTCAGAGAGAAACAGCCTCTTTAGATATAAAATGATCTCAAAGACTAACAAATACATCAATTTTTTTCAGACAAAAAACTGAGGTCCAAATATCAATGGGCGTAACATCTTTCACATAACCATGTGTACTTATTCCAATGGAATAAAACTCACACTCCATATAATCATGAATTTAACATACAAAAAAGGAGAAAGAGAGAGATCATAGAAGCATATAAAAATCTAAAATTATTCAAACAAAAATCAGTATTTAAGGAATGGAACTAACCAGCAGCTTGGTTCAGAACATGGTCTGATTTTTACTCTCCCACCAAAGCCGAGGAGAGTCCATTCCATTGGAAGGCCGACATGCTACGAAGGCGAACTTAATCGGTTTGCTTGCGATTCCCGATATGCCCCTTCAATTTTTAGAATTTTCGCAAACACCCCTGGACATCACAAGCCATAAAGGCATCGAGCTCGAAACCCTTTTAACCTCTTTATCGAATAAAAAAGAAAGAAAATTGATTATAGCCTTTTTTTTTATTATTATTATTATATTTTTTTTGAAAAGTTTTGATAGTGCGAGCTTAAAAAAAAAAAAAGGATTCGACGTCGCGTCAAAATAGTTTATAAAAAAAAAACTAAAAATAAAGTAGTGTAGAAATGTGACATTGTTTGAAGCAATCTTAACCTTCCGTTCAAAATGAACGGTTGGAGTTTCATGTCGCAGGGAAAGCATAAAAAGCTTCTCGAGAGTTAAACCTCCGAATATGCTCACAGTGAGGCAGGGCACCCGTGTTTCTATTTTAGAGTTTTTACGTGTGTTTAGTCTATTTTTACTGTGTTTCTCTCTGGAAGTGGAAACCTAACGCTGGACCTACTTTTCCTTGGGTTTCCTTGTGGTTAATCTAGAGGATGCGATTTTGCATCGAAGATGCAAGGAGTGATTTTCCAAAAATGGCGCCCAGGGTTATGTATGATACTTCTGATGCTCATAGATCCCGTACTGGAAAACGACGTGATTTAATGGTACTCTCTTCTTTCTTGTATTATCTTTTGGATTGGCTTCCGTAAATCTTGTTTTGACCTAGACTTTTTATTTTTTGCTCTCTCTGTCTCTCCTTTTTTTCATTGTTCGTTCTCTCTGTTCTTTATGATTGGTCTCCCACTCCTCACACTCTCTCTCTCTGCTTTTTATGTTATTGTGCTTCGTCTCTCTGGAATTGGGAAATGGAAGCAAGCTTCTATTGCAAACATTTTATGATGTTAAGAACAAACTTAAGTCCTAAATGGGTTTCCAAATATTAGGACTGCAACAAGATATATAAAAGCCAGCTTAACTCTGATATACATTTCAGGTTTAGCAGTTAGTGTTAGCTGTTAGCTTCTCTGATGAGTGCCCTTTGATCTAAGCCAATTGTTAAGTTTTAAAACAATTTACAGAAGATAAGTTTTAAAACAATTTACAGAAGTTACGAAGTTAGTGATTCATTTCTGAACTTCCCAAGAGTGTTTATGTTTGTTGTTCGAAACAAGTAAGTAACGGCTTGCGATTTCCTCCATGCTTTGTATATGTTCTTTTAGGTTGTGTTGAACATAGGAGAGAGTAAGTCCCTATGAATACAGTGATGAGACTCTGCTGATCGTTTTATAATCTGAAATAATAAAAGAAAGATAAATAATCATGTCGTGGTTGGCCTCTTGGCTTATTGGTCACGTCGGCATGAGGCATCATAACTGTAAAGTTAAATTCCAAGAGAAAAGAAAATGAAACTTCAAACAATGTAGGAAAAAAACTGTATTGTGTGTGTGTGTGTGTACACGCCTGTGTGGGTAGCACACCTTTGTTTTGGCTGTATCTAACCTATGTTGAATCCATTTTGTATTATAGCAGTGACCCTTCCACGGTCATATCCATGTCAACACCCATGGTGCACCTTTTTGTTATACTAGTGTTGTTGTACCTCAGGATGTATCAACTCAAACTTACCGGAAACCTTTTTTACATGACCACGGAAAGGAAACCAAACTCACAGTTGACTGTTATTTTTAGTATATTTACAAGTCCAAACTTTAGAAATTCACATATATAATGGGATTTAATATGTCAGTAAGACGATAGATATTGTGACAGTTACTCTTTCCATAATATTAATTTTCCTTGCTTTGATAGTGGGGTTTAAATATCTGAATGGAAATCGTAGATTGTTTCATCTTCACTATTTTGTTAACATTACCTTTATATGCTTAGATATTGGGATTGAAGTCTGTGCATAGAAAATACAGATGATCAAATTATTATTCCTTTCATATCCACCATCCATTCTCATTCATCTTCCTTCATCTGCTAAATATTGACATTCACATTGGATTATGAGTAAGACAAACCACTCACGTCACATATGCATGTCAATGAGTAGCGTATTGCAATTGAAATATATGCATCTATATGGTATTTCTGTGTTTAAGACTCAAGTTTGCATAGAAGTAGAGCCTACAACCATTCTCTCTACACTTATGAAATAGAAGAGGATTGCCCCTTGTGCATATAAATGCAGATTTAAAACCACCTCATCTGCATTCTACTGTATGTTGTGTACATCATTAGATTGGGGAAACATTATGACAAGTTACTATTTGAGTCAGATGGCAGTAATATTGAGCAACTAATGGGGTCATTGATGCCATTAAATACATGTCCCATCAAATTGAGGGAAATCTTAGCCTTTCATTTAATTTATTATGCATGTGGTTGAATCGAAAATTTTTCATTTAAAATGCTATGTAGATCTAAACAATCACATACTAACCACACATTGATTTCTGTTGGATATTGTTGAGTGTGGCATTCTCTAGCTTTAATGCAATTCCAATCATCCATTAGTTCTTGATTTTCTAGGTTGAACATGCTGAGGTCCTCCATTTGTTTTTCTGTTAATTGTATTTCAGGTTCCTCTTGTTTAATGTTTTGATTACAATGCTTGGTGCAGTTTAAATGTAAGGGTTCATGATTTTCATGATGCTTTACATTTCCTGAATTCTTTGCAGCCATCAAATCCTGGAGAGGGAAAGTCAGATGAGGTGGATTTTCAGGGTGGTAAAGAGGACTTCAGGAAATTGCTCCGGGATGTTGAACTCTTGGGTAACTTTCTGTTTGGTTAACCAATTGGCATCTATCTATTCTAATTTTACGTTGTGTTGTTCCTTTTTCCATTATTGTTATGAATAAATGTTTTTTTTCTGAAAAACTAAGTTTTTCATCTTTCTTTTGTATTGCCCATATACATACTGTCTTTTATTGTCATGATAGAGTGATTGAATGTTCCAAACTTCTCGTTCTCATTCAATTCCTTGAACTATAAGTTGAGTATGAACAATGAGAAAGCTTATGTTTCATGGAGAAATGTGTTGAAAATTTTAACTGTGAAGTGTGCAGAATATTTGAAGAAGTATAGGATATCAATGTTTACTGTTGAGATACATTCTTCTGTGTATATATTTCCACCGAATATCTACTCTGCCATGGGGTCCAATACCGGTTATGCCGCTCCCAAGACTGGAGAAAGGAGGAGGATTGTGTTAGGTTGACAGCCAGCATAAAACTTTTGCCATGTCTATCTCATGAATCCTGAACCAATATAATGATGATGTATACTTGTATGCACATATGTGGGATACTTCTTTAATTGATTTATTTTTCTATTGAAGGCATTCTAGGCACACTGCGCTTTCATATATCATTGAAGCTAATGAATATATCTTTCTCTGGTTAGGGAACCTAAATTCCTAACCTGCAATCTCAGTTCCACGGATTTGAGAGCCTTTTTAGATGACAATTAATTGTACAATGGGTATCTGTCTCAAATATGTTGTCTTATGAGGTCCTTCAATACTTCCATGAATTCCATGAGAGATGCTGACTTCAGAACAGAGCCAATTCCACTTTCTTGGCTCTGATTCCTAAACTTAAAGGTGCAGAAAATTTGAGGGCTTTGGTATCTTGAACTCCATTTAAATGATCCAAACTGGAGTTCCAGTCTGCAGGTTTAAGTTTGTCCTAGGAAAGGTTTATCATCTCTCAGTGACCAACAGACTAATTCTAGATGGGGTCCATGGGGCCATACACTTTAGATACCTATGTGGTGAAAATGGTTTAGTAATTAAATTGGATTTGGGGAAAGCTTATGACCACATAGATTGTTCAATTTTAGATTAGATATAGGACAGGATGGGTCAAAAAATGGAGACAATGGGTCCAAGGGTGAATCTCCAACGCACCCTTTTCCTCACTCATTAATGGGACCCCTCAGGGATATATTTCACAACATCCAAAGGTTTGAGATAGGGTGGCGCATACCTAGTAGCTTGAGCTAGGGTTTTAGCAAAGAAGGAGATAGGAAAGATCCAGAAATAGAGAAAGATTAAAAAACCGAAGGTAAAAGAAAGAGCACTTGCTGCTCTAGGGTTTTGAATAAAAGTCCATAACATAATTATCCATTATGCTTGAGTATATCCCGTGTATAAGAAAACCCTAAACAAGACTTAATCCTGGCTATCCATCTAATCTAATCATGGCCTTTTATTATAAAAAAGTGAATAAAAAGACATAAAAGAATCTAGAAATTACTGCTTATGCCCCTAAGTGAATAAAAAGATTCAAGAAATAAAATAAAAGATATAAGACGATAAACTCAATGATGAATTTGCCCTTTTGTTGTTCGTTTTGTAAACTTTAAGATTATCTCTCTTGTCTAGATACTCGAGAGCAGTATTCTGGGCTGCATCATAGGGGGAGCCTTTCCGACCATTCCATTTTTATTTTTTTTTGATACTGTTACATTGTATTGAAGGTTAAAAAGAGATACAATGCAAAAAGTCACTGACGTGAGTGACAAAAAGAGGAACCAGGAAAAGGGTAAAAAACAAGCGAAATCTCCTCACAGAGAAGTCCCCAACAGTACAACAGCCAAAGAAAATAAAGGCCACCCAATACAGTAGGGCTTAAGAAAGCGGTAAAAGAGAGGCCCTCGGAAAAGACAAAAAGGATCCCAGTTAGTCCGGTGGTTGATCAAAAGCAGCACCCTGTTTAGCTAGACCGTCAGCAACCTGGTTTGCCTCCTACCTTATATGATTCCAATAGACCTGCATAGCCCTACAATGATCAAGGATAGTGTAAAAATATGCCAAAGCCTCCACAAGGGTTAGGCTTCAGCAGATGCCCAAGAAATGATGTTATGGGACTCCACTTCGACCCATAGGGGGAGACCCCAGGGAACTATAGAAGCGTTTGGGGCCTCGACATCCAGACCGCATCGAGCCGTATCCTGCATTTTAAAACACTGAATAGTCTTTCTCAAGACTAAAAATTCTATGCAAAATTGATTCATCTTTTATTTGCAATTTCAGTCCACTTACTTGCCTCGCAACAGTTGATCATCACACTTGTTGATCATCAAGAGATAGAACTCATTGATGTTTGCATGCTCAATTCTTTTTGTTGTATTTGGTGAAATATCTTATATAAGCGTTGTGCATAATTAGTAGGGATAAACTTCTCCTTCAAGTAAAACTTCACCTTCCTCGTGATTTTCTCTTTTCCTTTACGAACTCTAATTGCTTGTTGCTACCATATTATGCCATGACCCTTCAATCGATTAGCCACAAATTTTACTCTTTTTCTTCTTTTGTTAACTCTTTCCATTTTAAGGAGGTCTCACATTTAGTGAACCAATACAAAAAATCATCGGGCTATAATTTACCTAAGGATCTTCTAATGTAGAGTTCTTTTCCTGGGTTAAAGTACGATTCTTCTCCTCGGCTTCAAATCCATCCCTATCATGAATGATGGAATCCCCTTGTTCAAAGGGGGTGGAGCGTTTACAACTCTACTACCTTGGCTATGACTACCACACTTTCCTCTAGCTGCCATCGCTAAAAATTGCAGTGGGATGCGCTTTGGGAGAGATGACCTGCTCTGATACCAGATGATCCAAATTTGTACTAGGACAAAAAAAACAAAATTTCTAAAATAAAATTGATGAATTTGATTCAAAATTAAAAGGATGCTAACAAGTCTAGCCTTAATGGGTCTGCAGAATTCACCAGAATTCAAGGAAACAAGGTTTCTAAGCAATAGATATCTCGCAATCCCAATTTTAATGTAATTAGAACTCCTGTTAAAATTAGCTTGAACTTGACACTTTTGTCCTTGACAAAAATAAATTAAGACATCTTCACCTAAAAACTACCCTAAAAAATACCCTGACTTCACGGGGCCATGACTGTTTGCTCTGATAGGGAAATTGTGACCCCATATCTCAAATGGTAGCATAAGCTCTATAGTTTCCAAAATCTGCTACCCAGATTTTATCGAGCAGACTAGGCTGAAAATTGCCTCTAAAAGCCTGCTGGCCCTAAAGTTTGGTGCATGTTGCCTGACTGTATTAACTTGGAAGAATAAAATGATGCTAGTATAAACATTATACCTTTTTTTTTTCTAAATGCCCACCCCCTAGGCGCCCTAAACGTCTCTCCCCGAGGACTAGGCGGACCACACCACATTGGAGGTTGCTGCCTTGGCTGCTCCTTCTCTCTCTCTCTCTCTCTCTCTCTCTCTCTCTCTCTACTCTCTCTCTATCT